AGAAACGTTGGTTTCCCGTGAGACTGAATGATCCCCCGAGTACATCTAGACCCGGTCAGAATAAGCCAACAAAAGTTCTTTATAGCCTACAGAACCCACTCATGAAAAGATTGATGAATATAGATGACATCTCATTGTCTGTGATTGTTGAACAATAACATCACGTGTTGTAAAGGATACCAGATACTTTCTATGAACACAGAAATTAAATTAGAATTGCGTTTTCCTTCTTTTTGGTGAAACAACTGGGGCTTGGGGCGGGAAGGGGGAAAAGGGGGAGGGGGGGGGGGGGTAATACGCTCCGTAATACCCGCTTTCCCTTTCAATTCCACAATATTGACTGAAAAGCCTGCTCAATTGTAATACATGTGGGGGGCTTTTGTCCATACTTCGGCCGAATAGTTTGTTGATGCCTAATTCACAAAGTGGTGTCAGTTTCTATCACATTCTGTAGCCGATGTCGCACATCGATTTATTGTGAGCTATTCGGTTTTTGTTTTTTTATCATTAAAAAATAAAATAAACGAAAAGAACCCAATCCCAAAACAATTGAATGGTTGCTCAGAGGGAAAGTACACACTTTACAGGGTAGTGGTGTGCGTTAAAACGAGCACGGTTAATCCAAAACAGCGGTAAACCGAAAGAAAATACAATCACCGACTTTTATTTTTGTGAGCGACCTCTCTAAACCTGGCTAAACCTAAGAACAACCGACGGTTCCACAGATTTCGGTTTAAACGGACTGCAATGTAAATGTTTATTTGTCCGTTTCTTGCATTTTAAGGGTTGACCGCCATGACCCCCACCCCCGATAATCAGATGTGAACTGATAACATTAGGTTTCCCCCCTTGCATCTCATTCGCTTTTGCCCTGCACCCCCTACCTTTTTGTCCCATTCATTTCTGCCCTGCTAGTAGTATCGATCAAAATTCTTTTGAATTCCAAATATTGCGTCCAAATTTGAAAGACAAAGCGACAGTGCAGAGTAAAATATTTTGTTAAAAAAGTCTTCAAGTTTTTTTGGTTTCTTTTTAGATTCACCCTGTACATCCCATACTGCTCTAATTTATCTTGACGGGCTGTATCGAAGCAGTCTGCTTCATTGATAAACACCGTTGTGTCAAAAGGGGAATAAATATCTAAAACACTCGTACTAAGGTAGAAACATACTGGGCGAAATCATCAAAGTCCAGTGTTAAGTATTTAGAAGCCTATCCCCCCACCCTCTTCCCAGTC